GTCAAAAGCAGGTAAATGTTTAATGGCGGGATCTCTGAAAATAATGTTTCGGAGCGAAGTTGGAGGGCTAACACTACTCAACTTCAAGACGTACTCTGAGGCTGCAGTGACCGAAACAGCCGCAGTGGAAGAACAGACACACAGATCAGAGAGAACAAGGAGACCAGAAATAGACTGACATAAATATAGTCCATTGATGTTTGACAAAGAAGCAAAGACAATACAATGAGTCAAAGGTTTGTTGGGGTTTTTGTTTGTTTGTTTTTTTTTCCGACAAATGGTTCTTGGAACAACGGGATTATCACGCGCCAAAAAAAAACCCCAAAATCGAGACACAGACCTTACACCCTTAACAAAAATTAACTCAAAATGGGGCACAGCCTTAAATGAAAAACAAAAACTATAAAACTCCCCGAAGGCAACACCAGAGGGATCCTGGATGACTCAGGCCTGGCAAAGACATCTTGGATGTCACACCGAAGACGCGACCCACAAACGAAAGAATTGGTAAGCTGGGCTTCATCAAAATAAAAACTGCTCTGTGAAAGATGACGGCCAAGAGAATTAGAAGCCAGACCTCAGACTGGGAGAAAAATACTTTCAAAAGACACATCTGATAAAGGACTGGAATCCAAAATATACAAAGGGCTCTCAACACTCAGCAATAAGGAAACACGCACCCTGTTTTTAAATGATGGGTCGAAGAGCTCAACAGATGGCAAAGAAGCACATGAAGGCAGGTTCCACACCATATGCCATCAGGGAAACGCGAAGCAAAACAGGGAGATACCATTTCATACCTACGAGAGAGGCCAAATCCAGAGCATGGTCAACACCAAACGCCGGCGGTGTGCGGAGCAGCGGACTCCCATCCCCCCGGCTTTCCTCTTATCACAAGGGACAGGGGCACAACACATTCCCAAATTTCATTTGCTCTACTGGCTTTTTCTCCATCGCTTTCTTCAGTCGAGACAAGCAGCAGAACAGTAAGTCAAACCCTGATCTGTACCATTTGCCAGTTTTTGTGATATAAACAAACACCCCCACGACGGCAAATGTCAAGCTACCAACATGGTCTTTGAACATGGCTTTGGGAAGAAATGCCGTTGTGTAGTATTTCCAGTATAGACACAACAGAGGTAAATAACTTCAACAGCAAAGATACTAGCAGAATGTAGCGGGATAATTAGGAAGTCATGAGTTTTGGACACGTGTTACCTTTGTTTTTTATAGAACTCCAGTGCACGTTTATATAATTTACATTTCAATAATGGCTGGGTTTAATGACTGCATTGTGAAATCCCTGAAAATGCACCAGCCAGCCTTCGTCGGTACAGGCTGCTCCAGACACACCACAAAGAGTCTCAAGATACTTTCTTCTTCCCTGGGAGGTTTTGCTTTAATTTCACAGACCACAGACCCCTATGAGGTTCAAAGATTCTTCATGGTTTCACCCTAATAAGTTACGCAGGTAATGCTCCAACTGGGTCCAGCAAGGTCTACAGCCACGTTGGGGTCGCCTCGGCACATTACCTCCCAAGAAGCAATAAACTTTGCTGCTGGAATGAAATCGATCTCCTCGCAGACGGAAGAGCCAATAACACTCGTCGAAGGGTGCTGATGGCACACTTGGCCGCCAGGTGGCGCGCGTGCCAGCCTCGTCCCAGTGAAACGGCTTTATTCAAGGTCAAGACCAGAAAGACCTGGGAGCAGAGATATTTGGGTTGTCTTGAGGGACAGCCATGAAACTTTTCATGGAGCTTGAGAATATCCGTGTACTTCTTCAGAAGGGCAAATGGCCACATTTCCTCTCATCTTACAATACGCAACAACTAGAACAGTGGGTGTGCAACAGAGGCTATGTGCTTGAAGTTCCTTAGGTCAGGATTCCACACGTGGAATTCCTCACAATTTCTAATTCGTATTTGTAATTCATAGCCATTCCTCACTTTCCCAGATGAGAAACTCAGCCGTTCCTTAATCCGTATATTCCGTGAGCAGCGACTGAGCGCCTGCTATGATTCTGCCCATAGGAAGCAGCATCAAGATTCAAATTCAAGAAATTCAACGCCAGTCTTAATCCTCTCCTGTTATCCCACATGCCTGAGGTGTTTACTAAACAAGCCCCCTTCCCGAGGGAAAAAAAAAGACAGAGAAGAAAAAGAAAAAAAACAACCCTGGCTGTATTTTCCCTGGATTCCCTTCAAAGCTGTATGACAACGTGGCCCATTGCTTCACCTGTGCGGCCGGGTGTTCTTACTAGCAGAGTCCCCGAAGTCCATCACTGCCTCTTCGTTTGGAGGATTTCAGTTATTGAAGTGGGGAATGAGAAGCATGACAGCACCTGGGAGACACCTTGGCGGCGCGCAAACCCCCGGGGGTGTCGCTGGTGCTGATGGTAGGGCACACAAATTTTTTAAGTGAGAGGAATTGTGCATCATGCCAGAGACAGCCTTACCTTATAATGAAGACACAGAATACTCTGTATCCAAAAGACACGCCGCGGCTGAAGCAGAATTTTACACAGCCCACGCGGCACCCCTGCCATCGGGCGCCCCCCCCATGCCAGCCCCCACCCCCACGCTCCTCGCACCTCAGGGCCTTTGTGCCCGCTGTTCCCGCGTCAGGAGCACTCTGGCCCACACAGCCACACAGTGCGCTCCCCAGCGTCCCTCAGGCCGGCGCTCACCACTGCGCCTCCTGGGGGCTTCCTGAGACACAGCACCCCTCCCCCGCCGCCCCCCCCCCCCGCAGGCCCTGCTGTCCCTCTCACCCTGCTCCATTTTCGTTGTAGCTTTGTCGTCACCTGTCATCGTATATTTTTGTTTGTTTTCTGTCTTCTGACACTGAAATATAGGTTGTGTGGTAACAGCAGCTTCCTTCCCCTTCCCCTTCCCCTCCTCCTCCTCCTCCTCCTCTTCCTTCTTCTTCTTCTTCTCCTCCTTCTTCTTCTTCTTCTTCTTTTGGTATTACAGTCCCCAACAGCTGCATCAATACATATATTAAAAATGAATCCACACCTGACACATGCCATGCTCTCAATAATAAGTCAATGACTAAAAGGAAAATAGATGTCCTTCTCCAAACTCCCAGTCACTGAAGCAAATGAGATAGATGTCTCTGAAACAATAAATGGAATGTTCCTATTGAATGCCGGACGTTCCGTCTCCTTATTGATTTTTCCCAGTGAATTGAATCGATCGCCCATAGACACGCAGTAGCTGTGAAGAAAGGCCACTTGGAAAGCCAGTGTCTAGTCCAGCAGGGACGCCCACTACCGCGGGCAGCCAGGGAGCTGCCCCCGCCCCTGCCCCCAGTTGCTTGGTTGTTCGTAAGGTGAGGCCCAAACACAATAAAACAAGGGCAAGCTAATTCTACATTTCCTAATTTTGTGCCTTAAGAAAGCATCAAGGGGTCTATGCTTTTTGGTAATATTATTAAAATAGCCAAAGATCCAAATTAACTATATTGCTACTGTTGCTGAAATACGTCCTGGGTCATATTTTGTGTTTTTACAATGCCAAGAACATCTAAGATTCCTATCTGCCATCAGTGTTTGAACTCGTGCACTGAAGTCTATCCTAGCTATTTAACAACATTTTCCAAAACAAACACAGAACAGGGAGAATGGCAATTTTGTTCAATGAGGAAGTTCTTTGAGACCTGGAAGACCCCCAGACCAGTATGTACTGTATCTTGTTGGGGTGGGTTGAATAGGGTTGGATTGTGCTGTTTTTGGCAGATGGGTCTTCACCCAAAAGAAATCTTAGGAGGAGACCCAGGGGGAAGCAGATGATGTGGAGACTCCCAATGACGTGGGTGAGGAGCCAGAACCTGCCCCCAGCCCCCACCTTGGGCTTCTCGGGAGTCCCCAGGGGGAGCCCAGGGAGCTCTGCAGAGCACAGTTAAAACCCACAGGCTCAGCCCAAGCTCGTCTCACAAACGAGGAGACAAGACTCAGCGAGCGGCCACCCGGGCCAGCCCCGGCTGAGACGTGATTCTCAGTGAGACACACGCTGTCTCGCTGCCTCCGCCCACGGCCCCTGAACGACATTTATGCCCTGTCCGTCCTCATAGATGAGCAAAGGCTGCTTGCTCCAGGAGGCTTTTCTGACGCCCCAGACACACGGAAGTCTCCCACACCTTCGTCAAAACCACACCCCTCTCTCCTTACAGGTCCTATCACATTTTTAATGTTGCCAGTGCCTGTCCACCTACTTCGGTATAACAGCTGTGGCCACAAGAGCCGTGTTTCTCACTGTCCCGGTTATACCCCGAGGACCTAGAACGCGGCCTGGACGCAGAAGAGTAACCGCCCTGAGGGGCAGAATTATGACCTGTTTGTCCTTTCATCCCCCATGCCTGGTGCTAGGCTTAGCTCAGAGTGGCAGCTCAGTAGCTGTCTCTGACTTGAATTATGAAAATCAAACTACCTAGAAGTCAGGACAATCTTTTCCTGGCCCCATCCAAGCTTTTCTAGGGTTTGGTGGTCTTGAGCAATTGTCCTACCTAGTTTGTCCTTTGTTTTGCCATCCATAAAATAAAACAGCTCGATCCTGAGGTCTTGGAAAACCCTTCTGTCTGGAAAATTCTGTCATGCTATATTCCTCTGCGCAGAAATGTCCAGTGAAGGTGTTAGGCCAGAACTTGAAGCAATGAGATTACTAAACATAAAAGAATGTTAATCCTAGTCAAGAATTAATGGTTAAGAGGGGACCTGAAATCTTGTTCTACTAGTTACTAACTTTAGCGTGGCTGGAAACAAGGTGCTGTACTTCCCCATGCCTCAGTTTCTTCATAGCAACACAAAGGTGGGGACAGAATGAAATTACAGAACCAAAGGTTTAGCGTGGTGCTGGGTACCTAATTAGGTATCAGCCAATGTTAATTTACATTTTTATCAAGATCGATCAAATGGGAATGATTTCCATTTAAATAGGTGTAAAAATAGCTTGATGATATTTTCTGTAAACTCACTGCTGTTCCCTCTTCTGTTTTAGGAGACAAATCCCCCAAGAGAAACAAGGTGAGAAGAATCACAAGGTGGCTTTTGTGCACCACTCCTTATTTTAGCTGCGTAGGAATGCAGACACTGGGAAGGCCTAGCTATTGATTAAAAACCACATCCTGGATGTTTAGTTGGGATGTGTAACTTCTGTTTGTAAATCGACAGATTCTTAACCATTAGCTCAGCTCATACAACAATCAGTTTAATTTCTGATTCTCTTTTTTTTTTGCAGACTCCTTTACCGCCTCCTCGGTAAGACACTTAAAACATTATTTTGTTCTGCTGTGTACTAAATAATAAATTCCAGAACTTGAAAAGCTCCAGAGTTTAAAAAGGGGAAACACAAAAATTTGGCATTGAAAAATTAATATGAGTTGGCCAGCGACCAAGGTTAAACAAACCTTCATTCACCCATTTAATCGTTCGTTCATCTTCACTCACCGTTTCTTCCCTGTCCCTTCCTGTTCTTGCCCTTCTTCTAGTCCAGAAACCGCCAGATAGGACTGGCCCTGGGAAACACCTTCAAGGGACTTAGAACAGAGCTGTGTACATGTATATAAGCACAGCTATTATTACATTTATACTTAGAGATGGAGGTGAGAGAGACAGACGATCTCTCAGGCTTTGAGGAGGCAGCCACCCTGGTTCTCCGTGGTCCCGTGGGTGCCTCGATCTCTACCCTTGCTGGGAACCTTCTCCTGGTTCCGCTCTCTATGCTCCTAGTGGGAAGTGAGTGAGCCAACTGCTGAGTCTCCTTCCTCTCTGTGTTTCCAGCCTCTACCAATAGTGCCCGATGCACTTGGCAGTGAGTGAGTGAGTGGGGAAGAAATGGGGGAGTGAGGTGTTCGCTGACTTTCAAACATCCCCCATGTCTTTGGGGAGTTTCAACAGCTCGGGTCTTCCAGTCTGGGATAAATGGAAAGCTATCGTGAGTTTCTGTCCCCGGGCCTCCTACCGCTCAAACAGGAGGCATGTCGAAGAACCAGAGACACCCTGTAGAACACTACATCAGAAAAAAGAACCGAACCACAGAGCACGTTGGTTGGGGGGTGGGGGGGTAGATTCAGGCTCCGCAGAAGAACAACTGCCTGGCGTCCGGAGCTGCCGGAAACAGACGGGCAGAGCCGTCAGTCCGGCCGCCCAGAAACTGACGCTTCCCACCCAAAGCTGAGGACGCTGAGGGCAGGGCTGTCTGAGAGGCCACCTGGGCAGCAAAGCGTCTCTGTCTCCCCCATGACTCTTCACACAGGCTACCGGTGGCCCCTCTTCCGAAGATGTACCAGCCCCTTCCCCCCGAGCCGGACAGCAGCAGGTCACCCCTGCCGAAGAGGCACATCTACCCCGAGGTCCAGAGAGGGCCCAGGTGAGAGATGGGTCGTGGGGGCTGGGGGGGCCAGGGCGATGCGTGGGCTGTGGCAGGGACAACCCAACAGCCGCGGCTCACAGCAGACTCCCCAGCGGGGGGGGCGGGGGGGGAATAGTCTTAGAAACTTGCCGTTTAATTCTTTAACCGAAAACACAGCTTTTGTGGTAATGAAATGAGTTATTGAAAGAATGGCCCCCTGGAGACCCGAAATTAGTTATTAAAGAAAATGTTAAATGCCAGAATGGAGTCGGGACCTTTCGTGTAAAAACCAGACGGCGGCTCGGGCTGTTGTAGGAGCAGCACTGGTCCCCGCTGCCCGTCGCCCAGGCTGGACAGACAGAACCGCGTATGAACACCGTTTGTCAGAAGCGTTATCGCCTCTGTGACAGGCACACATCACAAAGCCAGCCCTGCGGGATTATGCTGGTGACGGACTCTCGCCCCGAAACGTGCGGGGCGCTTGGCAGGCAGCTCTGATCTCAGAAGGGGCCACACCCGAAGGGGCGTATTTTTTTCCCCCCAAGACAGTTTGAATGTCCAAAATGACCTTATTTTAGAAGTCGGGGGCGGAGATTAGCATCTCCCCGGGGTTCCTGCCCAGAGTGAGGGGTGCTTTCTTGCTGCCGGCTTGAGTCAGAAGGCTGAGGCGCCCAGCATTCTTGGCGAGTGAGCCTTTCTCGCGGGCACAGAAGAGCAAACTCTCAGACCCACTTCGGCTTCTGTGGAAAACCCACTTATCACTGGTTCCGACGGGGGCCATTGCAGAGCCCGAAATGTCATTTCTCCTCTCAGTTGTGTGGAGAATGTCTCTTCATCTTTGCGTCCTTCACAGCTTCACGAGAACAGACACCTTCCGGGCCACAGCCCCCTCGCCGTTCCCCAGGCCGTCTCCTGCCTCCTCTGGGCCCTTCTCCATGGGCACGGCCTGTGGGCAGGGAGGAGAGTCCTCGAGTCCCGATTCAAACCCCTCGGGCTGAAGTTTAGGTTCTCCTTCCCATGAACTGGTGGATTTGGGGACTTCTAGTGGGGTGACTGCATCTCCAATGGAGTTAGCAGTGTCTGGAGATATTCTGGTGGTGACAACTTGGATGCTTTGGGCACCCCGCGGACAGAGAGGCCAGGGACACTGCTGCACACCGTCCTGTGCACGGGCCGGCCGCACAGCAAAGCCCAGCGGGCCTGCTGTGGTCATCAGTACCGAGGCTGAGGAACTCCGCCTTCGGGCAGATGACTAACCTGCCGCAAGGGAGGCCTCCTCAGCAGCAGTAAAGTGGGGATGCTTCTACTCCCCCCTGGGCTAAGGTGACAAATAAGCAATTCCTGACAAGCCCTTAACAGGGGCAAACATTTACAGCCAACACGGAGCGCACTGTCACGGCCGTGAGCCCTTGTACACGGGCGCTTTTGCCATCTCGTGGAATGTATTTGGCTACACGTGTGTCCCTTCAGCCCGCACGGGACGCCGTCGCGCCCCGGTGTGCCTATTCCCCGGCACGGAGCCCGGCACACAGGAGATGGTTGATAAACCTGGGCTTCCTCCTGCCGCCTCCCCAGGAAGGGTCCGAGGCAGACGGGGAGCCATCAGACATGCCCCGTTTGGGTTTCTGTCCTCCACAACGGAGCCGAGGAGGCAGCGGCCATGCTAGGCCGCCCCACGGCGAAATGTGTCATCAGAACTGGGAATGGGAAATGTGATGCCCCCAACACTCGCGCGAGCAGATGGGCTACGACCGAAGGTCTGGCTGAAAGGCAGGGGAGGAGGGAGACAGCAGCCGGGAGGGATGAAACACCGAAGGCCACGGGCGTGGTTAGTGCCGAGGGAAGGGGGTGTTGCCGTATTTTGCCGTGTATAATGCACACAGTTTTGCCCAGATTTTTGAGGGTAAACAAGGATGCACATTACGCCTGGGCAGTACTAATTCCAATTCTATATAAATCTTTTTAATTCTTTTATTTATGCTTGTGTGTCAAAAGTGTAACTGTAGAAAGCAATAACAATATCTGTATGCAAAATCATATCCTGGAATACGATCATCGGTTTTACATATAAATAAAAAATTGAATTTAAAAAATTTTTAAAAAGATTTTTTTCCTGAAAGTTTGGGCCAAAAACATGGGTGTGCATTACACAAGGCAAAATATGGTATCTTCTTTCTGGGTGCCCCCTTCTGCCCCCCGCCACTGAGAAGACCAGGACAGTGGGACCCAGCAGATGCGGGTCTGCATCCCAGTCCAGCCACTTCCGGCTGGACGATGTCAGAAAGCTCTGCGGCCGCCCCGAGTGCTGCCTTCCTTGCCTGTACAAAGCAAATAGCCATCCCATGTGACAGGCTGTGGTGGGGAGGGACGCGAGTTTTCTAAAGTGCCGAGGACGGTATCTGTCACCACATAGGGAAGAAGAAAAGCACTTAAACAGTCTCTCCCACTGTCCCCAACAGATTTGGGGCCCCAGAACCCTGTTTTCCTGGAAGCAGAGCCCAGACATTCTAGTGCTAAGTTTCCCATCCTGGCTTCACATTAAAATAATCCGGAAAGATTTTTCAAAAGTACTAGTCCCCAGTAGCATCAGTCCAATTGCTCTGAGAGGTGAGACCCAGGTGCCCCTATTTTTTAAAGCTCCCCCAGGTATATCTGAGGGGCAGTCGGGGTTGAGCAGGCTCCCTGGGCCGTGCCTGCCTGTGCCCGGCGTCTCGTGTCGGACAGAGCGCTCCCTGGAACTCGGAGCGCGCCCAGCTCCCGTCTGGTCTCACTGTGGCGCTGCCCACTGGTGCCTCGGAATCCTTAGAGGTTTGCATTTTGCACCTCTGGTGTTTCTGCCGCTATGGTTTACATGTGTTTGAGCTATAGTTTTAGATGTGGTAGCAACTGGGCTGGGTCTCTCCATCGCGGACGTCCCCAGAGGGTAATGACATTGCATCTCACGGAATCCTTCCAGCGGGCAAAGCAGCACGTTTTTCTAAGGCTCAGCAGGGCAAAGGGCCCAGCCCCATGGAGAGCGCACAGCAGGTGCCCGGTCAAGTATCTCTCCCCCATTCACTGGGCCCCGCGCCGCCCCGCCCCCCAACGCACACACACAGGGCCAGCAAGACTCAGAGAAGCCGGGTGGCCCAGTCAAAGCTACAGGGCTCGCCTGGGACAGCTGAGGGGGCAACACCGCGTGGGGCCCTGTGCGGGACCCTGGGAAGGACGCAGCACCTAAAGGGCTGGGCCTCATGTTTCCTGGACCTGTAAACGACCCACAAGAGGCGACTGCCAGGGTCACTTTCACTGAAAACAGAAGGAACACCTGTGATCGAGCTACTTCCTCCAAAGCAGGAGCAAGAGCCTGGCCGCAGGGCCCGGGAGACGACTTGCCCCCCCACCCCCTCCCTGCAACAGGAGACCGAGATTTATATGCAGCAACCCACCGGGTCCAAGGAAGGCAGCGGCAGCTGCGGCCTCCACACGCTCTGCTCCCCTGGACGGCGGTGGTGGCCCCAGCCATTGCTTCAGCCCCCGACCCTCCCTTCCGAAGCTGAGTGGCGCTTCACAGAACTATCACTGAATCAAAGCACTTCAGACAAGGAAAGTGCCGTTTCAATCATTCACCAACGACTTAAAACTAAGAGACAACTTTGAAGCTGGGGGACAGTGGGCTAGACGTCCTCGACCGTTCTAGACCATTATCATGACGTGTACAATATCCATGTACTTAATACTTTTTGCTCAGCTCTTTTTTTTTTTTTTAACTGAAGTAAATTGATGTAAAAAGGAAACATACCGCCATAAGTAACGGCCACACAGTTTCAGACCAAAACTTTGAGCCTGGGGAGTTTTCTCCCTGTTCAAAGGGAAGTCAAATGTGAGTGCGGCATTGAAATACACTAACCGCCACGCTGAGACACTCCTGGACAGAATTAGAAAGAGGTTTAAAAAGGAATGGCTGTCAAATTATGCATCCATTGTAATTTCAAGACCATGGCCCACGCACCAAATAAAACCACCCTGGGTAATCTGAGAGCAATGGGCGTTTGCTGAGCTCTTGCTGCACCTGGGGCTGACTTTGGAGTCTTTGGGGTGCATTAACTCTGTCCCACAATGACGCCATGCGGAAGCAACGCTACAGTCGCCAGCTTATGGATGAGAACACAGAAAACGCATGGGGTCACTGAGCCACGGTGTCTCCTTTCTGCTTCAACAAACTCAGTGGCCCACGGTGCAGGCTTCCGCCAAAATGTAAGGAAAGCGCCTGCTTTTAACAAAAAAAAAAACACCGTTTTGCCCAACCGTGGGCTTCCCTTTTCAACCAGCCACACTGGCACGTGTCAGTTAAAGCAATTTCGGTGGCAAAAAAAATGTACATTTTGATGATTTGAGAAGTGAAAAAAGAATACAGATGTCGGAAACCTCCTTTGAAAGAGAAGATTGTGAAGAAGATAAACACATTCTTATTTACGAGTGGGACTCACCAATTTTAGAGTGTAAACTTGATTATTACGAGAGTTTTGCACAATGTTGTCATTGGGGGAAACTGGGTGAAGGACACCCGGGGCCACTCTGATCTGTCATTTCTTACAACTGCCCGAGACCTACAGTTTAATTTAAAAGAAAGTGTGACTGCTAAGTGTTCTGCAGAGATAAGGTGGTATTTTATTCCAAGTAGCTTCCATACATATTATTTATGAGAACGTTAATCATCTTCCTTTGCTACTGTCTGGACTTACCCATTTTACAGGTGGGAAAACTCAGCTTCAGAGAGGAAATTCCACTGAGCCAGGGTGACAAGGCTCATGGATGACGGAGCGAGGATTTGGACCCAGTTTATGTAAAACTGAACCAAAAACTAAGGGGGGCTCAAAAAGGCCTATTTTGATAGTAAAAGGTATTATCCTCAAATACACGCTGAGCACCTATTAGGCGTATGTGGAAAGAATGTGGCAAAGCTTATTCTGTGTAGCCAGTGACCACATTTTATTCGCCATCTCCAGCCACGCAATGTGGGCAAACAGGAGTTAAAGATGCTCCGCGAGAGGCAGCGCAGCGCTGCGGCGGGGAGGCCAGGCCTTGCTCGGCCCCCCTGTGATTTTGTGCAGACCCCTGTCTTCATCAATCTCGTTTGAGAGAGAGCCCCGCCCCCAAGGCCAGCTGCCTTTATTTTACAGGGGAGGGGAGCGACTCGCTTGGGAGGCCTGGTCACCAGGGGCATTTCAGCGTCCAGGGACGGTTGTTGTGCACAGCAGGGATTTGTTACAATTACTTGAGTTCTCACTTAACAATCCAATACTTAAAGTTCCCAGGTCCAAAGCCTCGCTTTCCTGAGGCGTCCAATTCCATCTAGCAAGGATATTGCTCTGTTTATAAATCGAGTGATTTGACGTAAACAGAAGGAAGGACTATCGCTCTGCTTGTCACTTGGGAGAGGTTAAGGAATCTTGGACTCTGAGGCTCCTCAACAAACAAAAGGAGTTAAATCTCCTTAGACACTGGAAACACCAGACACAGTTCGCTCACTTGATTTTTTAAGTACTTCTAATGCTGACAGGCAGGTTTAAACCCCAACATGCAAAACTCTTTAACAATGAATTTTTGTAAATCTGATAAAGGCAATGCACAAATAGAGGAAAATTCAAGTTCTCCTAGATTGTTCAGATGCTTCACAAACGGAGTCAAACACAGGTTGACTCTTGAAACATAAAAAAAAAATCACAAGACTGAAAGCAATCTACACACTTTAACTTGAAGCCACGTGGCTAACCTGTGACAGATTAGCCTCAGTTTAACCCCAAAGCAATCAATACGATGGGTATTGGTTCTGCTTTATTACTTCTAATCCCATTTCTTTTATCCCCTCGCCCATCCTGTTAAAAGGGAGAGGCAGGGAGCGGCTGTGCCAGCCCAGGAGCTGCCGGCCCAGGTTAAAAAGTGTGGGGCCTCAGCCCCGGCGCTCGGGGGCCTGAGGCCAGGACAGGGCCTCTGAGCGCCGGGTGCTTCTGAGATTCTCTCTCCTGCTACAGACAAAGTTTACGACCCAGGTCACCGCCTCCCACGGAGGTTGGTGCGGCAGCCTCAGTCCCCTGGGGTTTCCCCGGGCCCCGCCCTTCCACCAGCAGGCCCCGGTGAACAGAGTGTACACGCCCCTAATTCCTGCAGAGTCTCCTTAGTGGACGTGGAGCACATTCCAACCGCAGAGCCCACTGAAGGCCCAGCTTGTTCATTTTTGTCTCTACCAAGGCTCACAATGACTCTCCACGGACAAATACCCTTGCGGCCATTTCGCAGATGAGAAAAGTGAGGGTGAGAGACGTACATCCCTTGTCCATATCAACGAAAGGCTTGGAGTTTCTTCTGAGGCTTGACCAATGTCCACGTTAGCAGATCCTAGACTGAGTTCTTCCCCTGTTGTTCAGTGTCATGGTTTTTCTGCCTCGAGGCTCCCCTCGTTGTCAGCATCCTTTCTCATATTTGCTTCCTGGGATCCCACTGTCCCGGACAATCTCATGTTTAAAACCCTTTTCACTTCCTCAGGCAAAGAACTAAGAGCCTTAGAATCAAGGTAATAACAGCAGGTCTGACGGTGGTAGGGAAACTCGACACGGGAAACCCAGTGTCAGGAGGAAAGATCGTGTTATTTAGATGCCTCTCAAACAAGAAGCAAGCTTATTCACGTCCTTTCTGTCACCGCCTTTTATATTGGCTCGCCCCTCCTCCTTTCGCTTCGAAAATTATGAGGAAAATATCCTGACTTTAGTTTATAGAACAGTGATATAGATCACACTGGACAATGGGGTGTTGCTTTGGCAATAACAGTATAATCAAAGGTTTTCAAGGGCTCAGAATGATTTTACTTTGATCATATGACCTGTATTTTATGTAACACTGTATTTCTTTTCCCTGCAGCAGACAGATAAGCTTAAAGAACTTAAGTGAGGTAAGTAGCAACTTCGTCCTTGGAAACAAAGAAGGGAAATTTTTGTGCCTTAAGTGTCTGCAATGGACAAGATACCATTTGCTTTAAATGTTCTGCTACACTTAGTCATCATAACAGCCCTGCTCAACATGTATTATTTTCCCTCTTTTAAAGGTGGGAAAACTAAAGCAAAACAAGTGTAAGATTCAGATTTTAAACCAAGGTCCTATTTGTCACCATATCCAGTGTTTAGGGGACAATGACGAGAACATGCCTAGTTCCCATGGAAGACTTCGCATTTTCCCATGGGTTTCAGGCCCCAGTATTACAGAAATAAGAGGTTGGAAATCATACTATACCTTGCTATGTGTTCTTCACAAGAAAGACAGGACTGCAAAGTAGAAGAAATACAAGATACAAAGTCACATAGACTTGGGCTTGAGCCTGCTTTGCTGCCTGCTGCTTCTGGGAACTTGGGCAAATCTCCCCACCTCCACTCCACCCCTGTTTCTGTTTTCCTGGCCATAAAAGAGAGATGGGCGTACACCACTTGACAAAGCTGTGATAAAGTCAAAATAAGTGCTTCAATGACCAGGTGAGCAGTAGAGACTCAATAAAACAGCACGTAAGTCAGGAGAGATGGAGATATCCCAGATTCCCCTTGGATGTTTACGTCCTTAAGCCCCCAAAGAAGAGGTTCCTTAACAAGTTGATGGTGAGTCCAGTGTCACTGATGGAAAATCTCTGTCCAAAAACAGGAGTATCCTCACATCCCTCCCTCTGGTCTCCTAAGGGACTTAGTTTTTGTCTTAATATGGGTCAGTGCTCTTATATCTAGACTGCAGAGTTTGGCTTTCCTCCCTCCCTCCTTCCTTCCCTCTCTCCCTTCCTTTCTTTCCTGTCCTTCCTTTCCCTTCCTCCCTCCCTTCCTTCCTTCTTTGTTCATTGGCATTAGAAGAATATTAAAATCAGTAGTCACATTTCAAGTGTGTGACTCCAACAAGACATTTAGTTATTAAATATATTATTTATTTATTGAATATATTATTTATTTATTAAATATATTTATTTATTAAATTAGAGATAATTTATTAGCTCTAATCCATAAGATAATCGCATCAAGGAGAAAGACACAGCAGTGCTGCCAGAGAGGCCAGCCCCGCTTCCATTCAGGACTTCACCTGCTCACCCTCTGCTGGGAATTGAACTTCCAGGTGCCACCAGGAAGGAGAAAGTTGGGGGTGGTACCCACATACCCAGAGGGACTAGGGGAACCCACACACCCAGAGGGACTCCACCCGCTTCTTCCTGTGGGTTGGATTTACATGTCCCAAGTAGCAAACGGCCACCACTCACAGTGACCTACATAACTCATTGGTCCGCCTGAAAGGACACTAGGCCCCCAGTCACTAACAAACAAGGATGTGAGAAGGTCAGCCTTAAAGAGTAGGACTGTGTGTCCTCCTTGCCACGCTGGTTGGCATTTTGCTAGCCGTCGATATCATCTACAGAACAACACAGCCTCATAGAAAAACACATTCTTCCGCCTTATCTGCCTTATCTTTTGCCAAGATATTTCCCCATTGTTTGTGTGGGGCCAGCATCATGGTCATTTCTTCCTCACAAAAGCTTATCTCATAGGACAAATGCCAGGCCTGTGTGCGTGTGCAGGACCAGAATCTCGGGGATCAGAGGCGATGAGCTACTCCGATTCATACAGCCTTTTTTTAATTTTCCAACAAAGTAGAGACTCGTGGTCTCATTTAATTCTCACCAAACCCTAAGAGGAAAAGAATCTTCGGCGAGGTGGCGAGACATGCCAGAGCTCCCACGCTGGCCGAAACCCCGAGTCCAAAGGCCTTCCCAACCTGTGACTCTGCGGTGGGAAACACAGAGACACCTCTGAGCTAAAATGGGGGGTGGGGGGCAGGGAGGAAGAAGAGAAGGGAGGGAAGAAGGAGGGGGAGGGAGGGACACACTGAAAGCAATACTATTTAATTTGAATATGTTTATTTTGAATAGGTTTATTTTCTAACAAAAACAACAAAAGTAGAGAAACCAGAGAAATTTCACTCCACCCTCCTAATCTCATTTAATTTAAATGCAGGGCCCTCACGCTAACAGCTGACTGGGTCTCAATTAGATAAAACATCTGTTCCCACAGGCTTCTCACAGCCCGTCCCCTGCCCCTTCCAGAAGCCTGAGAACCACAGCTGCATCTGATTGAGCACTTTGAACTGCCAGGTTCAAAGTCCTGGGGAAGCCTCAGCGGGGAGACGTTCCAACCACTCATTAGAATAGATTCATTACGCTTTTTACTTAGCCTCTAGATTGGCCTTGATTTGCTGCTCCTGATGAAATGCATGTCCCCTTTCCAGAACCCTAGGGGCCACCGTGGTCTTTGGAACAAAAGAGCTTGTCTGCCGGCGAGCTCGGGGCCGGGCCGGACTGGTGGTGCCTCCTCTCTGAGCTGTTCGTTGCTAAACATTCCTGTCTGTGCAGCTAACATGGGTTGGGAGGCCCGGGCAGCAGGGCCAGCTCAGCCCCACGGGAGCAGGGAAGCTGGGTCCGCGGCGCCGCCCTTTGGGCCTCCTCTGCAGACCCCGGCTTTAGCCTTCCATGGACCCTGGACCCTTTTTGAAAATGTGATGAATGGTGTAACCACCCGTCCTAACCCTCTGGAAAAAAGAGGGGGAAAAATAGCTTTTAATTTCAGAAGGTTCATGGACCCCACAGGCCACACAGGGACCCCTTCTGCCCCCCAAGTTAAGACTCTCTTGTCGAGACGATGCCCAAGTCCTCCCCAGCGGCATGAAGGGGACTGTGGAAAAGTATGTGCAGCCAACACTGTGCTTCTTGTAAGGCTTCCTGCTGCTTTAAGAGTAGAAGGGAGCCCAAGGACGCGAGTCCCATGGGCACGTAGGTCTTAGTAATGAGGAATGATCAGGAATTCTGCTGCTATTAGGGATGAGAGAGAAAGGAACTGTTTGGGAAGATAAACGGCTACATTTAAAAAGAATAATGTGACTATTTTCATGTGCATTTTTTAAATACAACGAAAATTAGCCATAGCCTCAGCACATAGTCACTTCAACACAATCTCTATTAGTGTTTTCTCATCTCTCTTCACATTCTTTTTATACACACACGCCCCCTGTGGAAATATGTCAGGAGTCCAGCTTCTACTCTGACCTTTTTGTGTAATGTTGAGGCATACTTAAGAGTACAGTCTTATTTCCCACTCTGCATAAACAAGTGAATACTGAACAGTCCCACTTCGATGGACAGGTAAATTGTGTCGAGGGTTTTGACACTACAACTAATGACATGCCGAACATCTCTGCGCGTGGAATTGGGTCTGGATTTTAGGTTGTTTTCTTAGAAAAAGAGTGTCACCAATGGAATTACTGGGATAAGAAAAATTGTATTTCTAAGGCTCTTGAAAGCTATGATGAAATTGCCTTCCAAAGAGTCAAAGCAATTGAGAGTCCCATCAGCAGACTGTATACTCACCTGTTACATCCCACAACGAGTATAAAATTGATTTTTGCTTAGTTTTTTTTACTGTTATTCGTAGATTTTAAAAATCTCAATAGCAACAAAACTTTTGCCCAATTCTACTAACCAGTTGCTCTGAAAACACAGAGCATGAAGTTTTCTATCACCAAGTTATTCAACACCTTTTTTTTTCCCCATTTAACACAGGTCCTTGGAACAGAGAAAGGTAAACTGTTCACATTTGTTTTCAGATCCTAATACCGCCAGGTTACGTTCTGTTTCCATGTTTACAGTGTTAGTCATTTGTTAAAAGGATTGATCGTTTTGGGGCCTGGGGTGTACGAGCGTGTGCATGAGCGTGTGCAGGGGGAGGGGACAGGTTACATGACCCAGATGGACCCAGGACTTCTCAGCCTGTCTCTTCGAGGATCCTCTGGTCTCAACAGGACGATTTAAGTTGGAGCTGGGCTCATGGTCTTCCTGCAGCCACAGGCTACAGTCAAGGAGGCACATGGTCACCCTCTGGCAGTTTGGGAAGACCTTGCTGGTCCAGAGAAGCTCTTGGTCTCCCCATCTTTGTTGTCACTTGTGCACACGCACATATACCCTCATCTGAGTGTGCGCACACACACAACTCACAGGTGTCGTTGCTGTGGAAGCATGTAACCCACACTCACTCACCCGCTGGCAGGGTGCTAACTGGGTAATGCCTTCTCGTCCACCTCTAAAACACTGTTCCTCACTTGCCGAGAATGATGGCTTGTGCCCAGAGCCAAGGGCCTGGGCCTTGGCCCGAGGAGGCAACACAGGCAGTGTGGCCGACAGAGCGACAGGAGCCGCCGCCGCCGCCTCGCTGCAGCTGTGGCCTCGGTGCACTGCCCCCGTGGGGCGCTATGCCCTTCTTCCTCCCGAGGACGTTAGGCTGGAGCGGAGCCTAATCTGGGTTTGTCGACTCCCAATGGCCCCGGGGAGGAGCGGGGGCCCGCTGGCGATCTAAAACAAATCAAACCCTAAAGGAAACTGAGTCTCAGCATCCTCACACCACCAAGCGTCATTGCAACCACGTGACACTGTTCTGACAAGGTACTGATGCTCCGGGCCGCTGTTGCCATGAAACACTTTGATACCACATGTGACTAGTGGCCCAGTCACTGGCTCCAATCACATTTCAAGGAATCACGGGCCCTCAATCAATGGTTCCCAAGTGATGCTTAACCTTGGACAGAGCACAAAGTAACAACCCAGACTAAGACCTGGAGGCATCTCTCTGCTTCCTGAACTTTATTACTTACAGCCCGAATTGAGGGAGTGCTCTCTGGGATTTCTTATCACGGTAGTATTGTGCACCCTGGGTAATTCTGGATGGCAGGTTAAAATCAATTCATGATGGAAAGGAAAAAAAAAGGGCTTATGCAATTCCTAAATAACTCCCAGTTCATATGGTTGGCAGAACATTCCAGAACTTGAAGATCAAAGGGGAAATTCTGAGAAACGCATGCCTGGTAACCCAGGTAGGAACTGCTGGTCTGCCTCAGATTCCCTGGGGCCCTCCTGCCCGCCCCAGCGGGGTATGCGGGTTCAGGCATGGGGGCCCGCCCTGCGCATGCCCAGGCCCTGCCCTGCCCTGCCCCGAGCAGTTCTTGGATTTTACTTATTGTTTATGTGTAAGTTTTCATCTGAGTGCGTAATTCCAGTCCAGTTCTCGTCCACACTGCATACTTCCAATGCAATGTTCTGTATTTGGGGAAGTTCAGTGATGAACTCCAGGTTCCATATTCTCAATAACAATATGGAGTGTCCATACTCAAAGGAGTTTTTATAGCCTCCAGGAGAAACCCCTCCCGGAAGCCTGGGCTGGTGTAGAATACGTGGGGTACGGTTTCTGCTGACCACCAGCAGCCTGCTCCCAGTCATCAGAGAATATGGGCTGAAATTACAGCAGTTCCGATAGGCCTCTGATGGGCTCTCATGTCATTTTCCTTTCACCTCCTGACCACGTTATGTAACTCCTTTATACAGTTCCTTATCACCAGAGGAAGCCTGAAGCTTGTCACCTGTCATGGAATCAAAGCGCTCCAGAGACCCCTCATGCCGTCGCCAGGTAAGGCGCCAGGAATCCCAAGGTGGGTCTCAGCTGTCGGGGCGTCAGGCCATGGACTGTAGAGGACAATGACTCCTTGAGGCTTCCTCAGAAACAGGAAGTCCTCGGCCTCTGGTAAGGAAGCCTGGAGCTCCAGCTACCATAGAAGCGAATAGCGTCACTCTTCCTGCACTTTGTACTTGGCTGAGTCAGGGCTGGAGAAGTATGGGAGAGTCAGAGACCTGAACGTTATTAACTCGTTCCGAAGGAACTGGAACAGATGCTAATGACTCTGGGAAGGGAAGTTGGCCTTTCTAAGTAGACTCCACTGATAACCACACAGAAGCTTACAGTTACTTTTGAATTTCACGCTACAGATGGCCGGGGCTTAGAAATACCATTATCTGATTAAACACTTTCCTGATCAGGTTATCGTGACAACTGTCAGCCCAACTAAAGAGACAAGGAAGTGAAGGCTGTAAACCACTGCAGATTAGTGCTGGCTTCCTTCCAGCAGCGCTCAGGGCCTCCAGAATGAGCGCTCTAAGGCTCTCAGGACCCCAGGCTGACCGGTGGCTCCGGCCTCGGTTCATGCCACTCCCGCGCTTTCCACGCGCCACCGTCACCTACCGCAGGGCCTGCGCACCGGCTCGGTCCCTGCCTGCGACACTTCCTTCCACGGCGTCCCCACCCCACTCTCCCCACACGTGGACAACTTCTCGGCATCCACCGGACCCCAGCTTAGAGCCACGGAATCCACTCCCCAGAGGGAATAAATGAGGCCCAGACAGGCTGAGGCCCTGACCGCTGGGGTCAAGTCCAGCTTCCCTGTCCAGCAGCCCCTGAGGCCTATAGTGGCTTGATTCTAAAACTGCAGCCCACGAACCCGACTTTCCCAGGGGCCTGCCCAGGGTGAAGGTGCCTTGCCCTTTATCTAATGGACATGGACAGGGATGTACCCTGTGTGTGGCGTAGAGAGGTGGTCCGACGGCCTGGCTTCACCGTGAGCAAAGCACGTGCCGTTGGGCGTCACCCCTCGCCCGACACGCGAAGCCGAGAGCAGAGCCGGGCCTGCCGCAGGTGCCTGGGACACGGGAGCGCTCCTTGCCGCGGCCACGCCCCGTGCGCCGCTGCTCTCCACCCCCGCCCACACCCGCCCCGCCCCCTGCCTTGTCCCGTTTCACACTTTCAGCAGCTTCGCTCTCAGCCTTTGGCCTGTGGGGAGGAGGGCCCTGGCTTCGTAGTTCTCCTTAGGCTGTTTCTCGTTGAAGGCCCAATCTGACACAAAATTCTTGCCCAGAGCACCATATAAAGCCACTCTTCATGTAATTTTCCAAAAGGAAAATAAAAATCACCGTATTGTTGTGAAAAGAGAAGGAGCTCTCCGCTGCGCCCACATGTGTGCTAGCAGGAGTTTGGGACTGGCGTTTGGGACGTTTTGCCGCGCTGGCCTGTAATTGGTAGAATTCCTCAGGGTGCGCCTGCGGCCCGGTGTCCTCTAAGGGCCTAGGCGGTTTCGTCCGCCCCGCAGTGTGGGATGTCAGTTCCTAAACGGACAATTCCTAAGTCTCTGTCTTCGGCAGCCGCCCCCCTTCTTAGCTCCGGACCCGATGGGCTGCTTTCCTTCAATAGGTGGCAGGCATCTTGAATTCGTAACATTGAAAGCTCACTCTTCCTTTCTCCTTTCCTTCCCAAGCCGACACTCCCCTCACCCCGCAAACTCTCACCCCAGTAAATGGCGCCTTCTCTTTCCCACCTTCAGTCGCCCCATCCCACCCATTTTGCCTCCCAAAGTTCTATCTCCATCCAAACCGTGTCTTAAATCCCCCGTCTCTCCTCACGTCCCCAGCTCCCAACACGGGCCAGCCCCCATCGATCTTGCCCGGACGATTGCAGTAGCCATCTAACGATACCTATCTCCTTGCCTTCCCTTCTGCCCAGAAGGAGCCACTCTCTGGTCTGTTGCAGGATAAGCCCTGTTCTCTTGCCTCTGAGCCTTTGCGCCTGCTGTTCCCTCTGCCGGGAACACGCCCTCACTTGCCACCCGCGTCCTGTCCGTCTTTCAGAAGTCAGCTCCGTTCGCATGTCCCCCAGGCAGCCTGTCCTGAGATCCAAAGCGATTTTGTCTGGGTTGAGCGACCGTCTGCTACAGTGGGAACCTCGGCTGTGCGCACACCTGTGGCAGCACTTAGACAGTGGTGACGACGCAATGTCTTCCCTCCCAGCACAGAGCAGTTTCCGGGCAGAGGCTACATCTTACTCATTTTATACTCCCGAGACCTACCACACAGGCCCAGGAAGTTCTCAACACACGTTGGCAAAATGAAAGAATCATTTTTATTTTATGTTTGCTTTGTTTTTATTTATTTTTGTTTTTGCTTCAATCCTTATTTACCTAAAGTATTAAGGCAGGCACATGTTGCTACATATGATTTTTTTTTTTTTTTTTTTTTTTTTTTTGGCCCCAAACACTCATCACAATCGCGCGCTGGCTCCTGGTAAAGAAACGCTGGTGTAAACAGAGTGAGGGTCTTAGGGGCCAGCAGGAGTCGGACCAGGGACTAAAGAGCCTGCGCATATTTTTATTCCCAAAGCAAGCCATGACCCCAGGCTCTCACGCGATAACAAAAACCAGATAGGCACTGGGTTGATTTCAGCGGTCCTGTAACAGGGCTAGATTTCATCTAATTAACCCAGAGACTTCGGCTAATCAAACAATTTCCGGTAGAGTGTGAGCCTTGCAATTCGATTTCACTGTAGCAGCACCTAGCGCTTACGATGATGATGCTGGTCACAGGGCGAAGTGAACCAAAAAATCAGAGCGAAGTGTTAGGTAAAGCGAAACATGAAGTAGCGTGCTAACCAGAGCCCTTGGTCAACAGCCTTGGTAACGTCATTCCTATTGTGCTTAAGAATGTATAGTGATATTTTGATGATCTCTTATTATATTTTTTATAATCCCTTTCCCTTTATGGACTTTCTGAGAATAATCCACATCGTTTTCCCACCCAGCATGCATTTCAAGAATGAATAAATTACTCTCCATACTCTCCTTCAATTGGTAACTAATTATTACGGAATAGGAGCCTCGACCGGCCACATGTCCTTTTCTATAGTGACTGCAGGTTGAAGGCAAGTCTAGATTCATGGCTTCTGAAAGTAAAGAATCAGGACATGTGCTCAGTGAAATGACATGAAAAGAACCCATGTGGGTCCATTTGTTCCGTATCTAATGTTTGCCTGTCTTGGAAAAGGGGAGAAGGGCCCAATCTTCTACTGCCTTACAAAACAGACGCTTCTTCTAGCTCAGCCAGGAAAACACAAAGTGCTTTGCAAATGTGACTTAACTCAGACCATTGTCATAGACTGGCTTCTGAGAGGAATTAGACCCCGCATGGGAAATATTTATTCTTTCATTTCAACATTTTCTTTAGCTCTTCACTCAAGATGAGCCGCCACAGAGTGCAAAACCGAGGTAAGAACACGTTACCCAAGCATTATGGAATAAACAGGTGAGCCTTCACACTGCCCTGTTCCTGCACTGCCACTGCCATTTCCCGAACCTCACAGTTGCTCAGCTGGTGTGTATAAATGTATCAGCTGGTGTGTAGAAATGTATCAGCTGGTTGTCAGCGACGGGAGCATACCCGTAATTAAGTAAGATCGCTTAGGTGGTTTCCATTTCTTCTCTCTTACGAGCATTGTAATGTCATGAAGGATATTGTTGGTGTCTTCCCACATACATTAATATGTACTTGTTTTCCCATGTGCAAACTCTAAGTCCTCCAAGTGTAAAATGTATCAATCTTAGGATCTTCTAAGAGATGGGTTTCCAAAGTAGGTATTGTGTATCCTCTAGCCTCACCCACGGCTTAGAGGTCCCTGGGTGCCCCAGCCTTCCAACAGTCATTTTTGACAAAACTTTATGGTTTTCCCAACCCATTGGGTGTAAAATAGGTTTCTCTTAAGAAAATCTGAGAAAATCATACCTACCCCTCTTACTACTTGGTGGCAAATATAAAAACCCCGACGGTTCCCGTCTGCGGTGAGATTTGAGATAGCACACGTAGTGCCTGCTGCGGGTGGCAGGTTGGGACATTGTTAGTGTTATTTTGCCCGAACTAGACCGGTCACGTTCTTTTGTCTTTCTTCTCCCTGAGCGCCAGAGAGATTCTTTTGTTTAGGTCTAACCCTGCAGTCTCTCTCTCCCTGTGGATCCGTGAGAGCGGGCTCAGGGCCGGACACCGTGGAAAGGCTGAGCGCTCCACCGACCTGGGCCCTAATTCCGCCCTAATTCTGCCCCTAATTCGGCAGGGTCAGCTTCAGCACCTTCATTCTGGAACTTCACCCACCCGGCTCAGTCAAACAGGACATTAACGCCCCGCCCTCTGCTAGACACATAGAAGACCACTGACACATTTTAACTTTTCTCCCTTTTTTTCTGTATTCCCCTCCCTTCTCCAGGGGTTCCCCACCCAGTCAACCTCATTCCCCCCAGCCTTATCACGTCCTTATTTCTCCTTGCCCGACGCCCTCTGGGCCTTATATTGGAAAACCAACCTGGAAACCTCATTCCTCCTGATGTACACACTGCTAACAAGAGTTTCCCAAGAGAGGGCTACTTTTTTAAAGGACAGTGGCTGAAGGAGGCAATGTTCGGCCGCTCGGACGCAGTGCCTTGGAATCCAAGGGCAGCTGTCCGGAGGCCAGAATGCAGGGTACCAAGGTGATAAGGCTCGGCACTCAGGTGGAAGGTCCAGGGGCTGATCAGGCCGAGAAAGGGCATTACTTACAGGCTTTGAGGATATATTGCAAGGACGAGGAAGCAGCTTAAAGAGAAATGCAGAGTCTTACCTTGAAAGACAGCATTTTGCACAAATGAAAAATAGCAATTAAAGAGTGTTAGGGAAGTGGGTGGCCTTCACAGACAGGAGTCCCGTCCAGCACCCTAGGGCTCGGTGGGGATCCTTTGTACTGGCTCTTGTAGGTTGTTCCCTGTGCATCTCATGGGAAACAAGGTTGCTTAAAGGGCCAGCAGGGGAAACACTTCTGCCTGTGCCCTGCCTTCAGACCCCATTCATTCCTCTTTCAGTCAACAAGTATCCACCAAGCATATGATTTGTATCCAAAATTGGGCTGGGCCTTAAGAATACAAAAGAGAGAGCCCCAACTTTTGACTAACCAGATCTTGAGCACCTGTGATGCCAGTCCATTAACGTACTGAGCATGGTCGTTCTACTGGGTAAAAATTCACCTCTGGATGACCGTGCTTGGTAGAAGTGAGGTGCACCAAAACCAACACGCAACGCAGGCTCTCACAGAGCCCTCGCGCCAGGGGGGGCTCCCTGCAGCCCGCTGGTTTAACTTGAATGTCCCAGAGGAGGGAGGCGGCCTTCTTCATAACCAGGAGTGAAATCTACCTCTCTGCCCATGTAGACATTTTCATCTTTTTTTAACAAGTGAGAAAAGATTGTGGAAGAGTTCAGTTATTCTTGATAGTTCAGTTACTACTTGATAAACAGCCTTCCCTCCGTTCTCTGATAAATGAATTCAGGCGAAGTTATTAGGAGCCTAAAGCAGTTGACTCAGGACCAAAAAAAAAAAAAAAAAAAAGATTATTTTGAGATATCAGCAGAGGATCCAGGCGGATTTGGTTACAGTCCAAAATATAACATTACTCTCTAAGTTTGGGATTGTGAAAAGTTTGTTTTCTTTTGTTTTTAGTGTTTGTCCACTAATGTTTTCTTTTTCTCTCTGCATTTTATTTTGTAAACTATACAGCTTTTTTCTTAAACGATTATTTTTTTTAATTGTTGTAACAGTAAGTGAGCATTTGCTAACAAATATGTGTAGATACTTGGTTAAAATAACACGCTTGTATTATAAGTTAGAAAAGAAAGGTCTAGCTAGAGCCGAGTCCCCCGATAATGCTGACACAGCAGCATTGACTGAGTTACTAACACGGGTCAGGCACTGTGCTAAGGGCTTTATATCTTAAGAATACTGATATACAAGTGATTATTGATAAGAGTATGGTTTTGCAACCCATACCGTTCTATTAGGCTACGCACCCTCAGATTTCATTGACAGCCTACGCAATGTGCCCCACAACGTTCCTCCACTTACCCTGAGTCACTCTCCCCATTTCTGTGACCCTCGATTCCCCGAGTAGGAGTCCTATGTCATGGGGGTATAAAACGCAAGTGCAATGTCTTAAGTAGGGAAAATTTTCCAGAGATTAGTTGTCATGATTTTAGAACAAAATCAGTTCAACAATTGTAGGGGATTATAAGCTCCGAATTGTATTTGTTCATTAAACAAAGACCCAAGCAGACCATTAGGGGGAAGTTGGGCGGCCAAGTTGTTTTTCTGTTTGTTTTGTTTTATTTAACTCATTCTCTGAATAAACCACAAAAGCACGAGCGCTGGGGAAAAGCACGCTGTTTCCCAGCGCTCGTTTTCAAGTAGGACTTTTTAAATATTCAAGCAAGGCACTCAGAGTTGAAATATAATAAGTCAGTTGCCACAATATAATGAAAAATTCATAATCACTGAAGACTATTGCATACACTACAGCACTGCTAGCAAATGCGGGTAACGGTCATTTTCCTCCCTCCAGGACGTTCTTACTGTTTCAATCCATGTTGGAAGATCATTGTGGCCATTTCAATAATAAGTCTCTTTGTCTTGCTTTACTATATTTTCAATAAATTTTTAAAGTCTCTTTTTAATCCTGCCGTAGCTCTTTCAGCTTTCTTGTGGTCAGGATTCGCTTGGTATACAAGTCCCTGTTCTCTCATTAGCGATCTCTCTGTGTCACTACATTGTAGATGTGTAATTAGCACATAACTGGAATGTTTGAACCAACTTGCATCTAATTTGTTCTCTGGGGGTTTCTTAACATTAAAAATATTTTTTCAGTTACACTTTACTTTTAATATTATTTCTTATTTATGTATTTTTTAATAGTATTCTGTATTAGTCTCAGGTGTACCGCATAGTGGTTTGCATCTAATTTTTAAATGCTAAGTTTATTTACATCTTTGATATTTATTGCAATTAATAGTTAATAGTTTTGATTCATTTTTACATAATTTTGTGCCTCCTATCTGCCCTGCTTTTTGCTGACATTTTGTTTCTTTTCCTGCCAGATATTGGGTTCATCTCTTCTTTATTCTCCTTTCTCTTTCTTGGAAGCTATACCATTCTTCCATTTGTTTTAAGATTTTTTTTTAAAGCATGATTGAATTTTAAAACTCTTAAGTTTACATCCTCTTTCCAAACAATACAGAACACTTTTTAAAAAACACTTTAAAAGGAGAGATATCTTTAGCATTATTCCTATTTTCAGGGCCTTAAATTGGTGAGTGAAATTAATGCACTATGATGAGTGCAATTTAAACTCTAAGTGACAACACGGTTCTCTACAACAAACATTTTAATGCCTGTAGTTCCCTATAACAAACATTCTTAGGCTCAATGTTAAAAGCCACAGTCCTTGGAACCATTAACGCGGAAGTTTCCATGTTTCAGGGATGCTCTTTGTTCTTCTTAGTAGTCCCAGGGAGAGTGTGGCATTTTGATGAACAAGGGTACAATAAATGCACATTTACCTAACTGACGGTGACAGGCTTATAAACATTGGCTAATGTTTTATTTAATATTTTGCCTCAAAAATGTGCTGGGTCAACAGTATCCTATTCTTAAATGGTGATGGGAGGAGACTTGACTTGGGGTGGGGAACACACAACACAATACACATGTGATGATGTATTATAGTTATACACCTGAAACCTGTGTTCTCTTATTAACCAATGCCACCCCAATAAACCAATTAAAAATTAATTTTTTAAAGTATCCTGTTCTGCCCTGGCTGCTGTGGCTCTGTAGATTGAGTGCCGGCCTGTAAACTGAAGGGTTGCAGGTTCAATTCCCAGTTGAGCACATGCCTGGGTTGCAGGCCAGGTCCCCACTTGGGGGTGTGCAAGAGGCAACCACACATTTGATGTTTCTCTCCTCTTTCTCCCTCCATTCCCTTCTCTCTAAAAATAAATAAATTAAACCCTTAAAAAATGTTTTTAAAGTATCCTATTCTTTCACAGTTCTTGTCAAGCTATTCACCAATACTGTAATTTTGGTTATATTTTCTAGAATGAATTAAGACTATATAGTTTATAATATAATTCTGCCTTCACACTAATCAGTTCTCTTCCACTTTATGTTGCTATTGTCCAGTATGTTATTTTCATATTGTTTTTATACCCCCAAGGCTTTATGAAATTTTTACAGTTATTTCTTGCTTGAAATGACTATTTATAAATATTTTTGTTTAGTATTCTTCTTAACACCTCACTCCTCCCTTACAGCCTTAATTTCCCGAAATTAATATTTTATTATTTACTGAAATGAAATTACATGCCATGAAAATATTTTTATTGAAGTATGTAGAGAAAATACATCAAAGCTTGACAAGTGGTAGAATATTAAAGCTTAGGTACCAGGTAAAATCAAAACCCTTTCAATGATTTTTTTAAAAATGCTCTAAAATTTATTGTTCTGTCTCCTCTTTTAGGAAACCTTTTACCCAGGCATGATTTTGTAGCTTCATGCATTTGTTACTTAGGAAATAATGATTCACAGACCTGAGCAGGTCTTTTCAATGTTAACATGCTTCATTATAAAAGTTCTTTTAAATCACGTTTCAAAGTACCACTACCCAGCTCAGCAGAAAAGTATTTTAAGATGCTGTTATGTCAAGAGGGCAGATACAAGTTTTTTCCTAATCTGCATTTCAAAAAATCTAACTTCTTAATTGACACCAAATGCTGCCATTGTTTTCTGTGAATTAATGGGCTCACTTTGCTCATTTCTAATAAAATATCTGCTCAACGCCTGAGTCTGAATAACCTTAGTTTGTCAGTCTTTCTTTCAGATTTAAAAAAGTGAGATTCTGTTAAGACAAACTGTCATTCTTCAAGTTTTTTGTTTGTTTTAAAATAGTATTTCCTGAGTTGGGAACAAGCTTGACTCATTTAAGAAACTGAATAAAGTTCATTACAGCCGGAACAAAGCGGACAGTGGGGGATGGGTGGATGGGTGGATGGGTGGATGGGTGGCGGGGTGGCGGGGTGGCGGGGTGGCGGGGTGGCGGGGTGGAACAATGGGTGGGGGCCTGGAAGGACGGATGGGGGAATGGATGGCTGTGGGGATGGACCTGTGGGTGCGTGGGTGGGCGGACGGATGGACGGATGGACGGATGGGTGGGTGGGTGGATGGACGGACAGATGGATGGGTGAAAGGCAGGAAAGAATGGATGGGACGATGCGGGGATAGAGAAATCAGAAGAGAAAGATTATCGAGGGACTTACTGACAGAGGTAAAAACATTGGATTTTCTTCCATGGGTGAAGGAAATCATGGAAGGATTTTAACCATGGGGAGTAGCAAAGTCATAATCACATTTTTAAAAGCTTATTCTGGCTGCCTTGGGGAGGAAGGGGCGAAAGCTGAGGCAAGAGAAGGGTCCAGAGGAGACTGCTGTCCAGAGCGAGGTGACGGTGGTGTGGACCGAGGGGGCCGCCGACAGAGCCGGGTGGCAGCCTCCATGCAGCGCCTCGTTGGAGGGAGACAATCGGACACCGCGACAAAAGCTTATCTAAACGTGAGTTTACTCTTCCCAGATCATAAAGGAAGCGTGCAGCCCCAGCCTTCTCGGAGATGCCCGGCTCCGGCCAGCGTCGGCCCTCGGGAGCACGCTCCTCCCCGCAGCGCTGCCAGCAGCAGAAAGCCCCTCCCCGCCAGGCCCGGGGAAGAGGTAGGCCCGTCTTCCCAGCCCCGCGGGGCCTCTGCGGAGAGCTGCACCCGGCAGTGTCTCCCGGGGGCGGGGGGGCCCTTGTGATGGACTCTCATTTTCCCTCAATAGTATTGGCTTTTAATACTTTGAAGTGTTTGCTCTGTAACATTTTATATTGCTCTTTCACCAGGTTCCTTAATTTGCATACCATCACCCCCCCCTATTCAGGGGGGATGTGTTCCAAGACCCCCAGCAGATGCCTAATCCCGCAAATAGTACCAAACCCTACACTTCCTGTGTTCTCATACCTACAAACCTGGGATAAAGCTTACTTAAATCAGGCAGTCAAGGATTAACAGCTAATAAGAAAACAGAACAATTGTAACAGTACGCTGTGATAAAATGTGAAGGGCTGCACTCCGAAGAACGCCTCCAATAGGAGAGGAGTTCGATCTCAATCCTGAGGGACGAGAATGACAGCTGGGTGTGAGGACAGGCGAGGAGCGGGAGGGATTCCAGGCAGCAGGGCCCGCTCGAGCCACGTCCTGAAGCCACGTGTCCGCCAAAGGGCCGGCACTTCTGGCTGGCCAGACCCACGCGCTCAGGCTGCGGGGGGCAGGAAGTGAGGCGGCAGAGTGAGTGGGGAGCTGGCTCACACATGCCTGTCATTGGAAAGATGGGGTTTGCGCTGAGGGGACCAGGGACGGAGACCGAGAGACCAAAGGCCCAATGTCACATCCCTAACCCTTGCCAACCAGGTGACAGCTGTTGACTTCCTAAGGCCCCCAGCCTGACATGCCCATCCTACAGGGTTGTCGCAGGGGTGGGTTGGGACAACAGATGGGGAGATGTCTTCGATATGCTCGCCTCGTGCGGGGGGTTGCTTAATATTAGGATCCTGGGGACCTGCGGGTCCGTGGTGCTTCCTCCCACTGCCCTTTCTTCTCTTTTATGGCGGATTTTATAATCCAAAGAAATCAACTGGTATAAATAAGGGAGCACAGCACAGGGCAAAAGCCAGGCAGATGAGGGTTCAAATCCCAGTTCCCCCGCACATGACTTTGGGCCAGGGGCCTAAAGACGTTCGGATTCTGCGCCTGTTTTGCCCTCCCCCGCTGTCTTCATGGTGACGAGGGCAGCATAGGCTCGACAAACAGTGCACGTCCCCTCTCAGTCGGCTCGGCGTGAGAGCTGAGGTTTGTGGTCGGTCCTGAGCATGGGGCCGCAGGGCCTTCCTCAGTGGACGCAGTGAAATTCTGGTTACCCAGCCATGCCGGTCACACGGTGCCTCCGCTGCCGTGGCTTCTGCTGGGCCCAGACCCAGAAACGGAATGTTTAGACTGCATCTCTGCCATCTGTCAAACTGTGACTTGGCACTTCTAGAACCAAAGTGCATCTCCATTAATTAATGAGTCATTGGTGCTTCCCTCTGGCCCTTTTAGCCCGTCCCACAGGCTGTCCAGCACCACAACGAATGGTACGTCGGGGAGTACAGTCGCCAGGAGGTCGAGGAGGCCTTGCTAAAGGAAAACAAGGTAATGCCTTCCACGGGCCCCGTCAGCCGAGGGCTGTCTGCCCCACAGGTCAGGGCACGTAATAAGCAGTGCGCTTTGACGGGGTGGTTCCGCATCACCTTGTATTTCTCAGTGCAGGGAGGGTGTGACTGAATGGAAGATCTCAGAGTTTTAGATGCGAGACTTAGCAACTGTGTGGCTTTCTCAAGTTCCTAAATATCATTAAGTATAGATTTCTTTATTAAGTAGAAATAGCAAGGTCAACCCTAAGGAACGATTTTGGAGATCAACTGTGGAAGCTGGGGTATAAATGGGGTATAAGTGGAGGTCAGAATAAAGTACCTTCTTTTTGCTTCCTTCAAGTTTCAGATCCTTACTGAAGGTCTGCCCAAGAAACAGCTGAGTCTTTATGTCTTGCTTCTTCTGAAAAGGAGCAGAGACCGTGAATGCCGTAGTAGTCAGGATGCGATAGGTTGTGCTGTAGTAAAAAACAGCCCCCAGAGCTCAGTTGCTTAGCAGAACAAAACTGTATTTCTTGCTTGCACTCCATGTTCAAGATGGGTCTGGGTGGGTGGGGCAGGCTCCTGAAGGCTGCATCTCCATGGGTGCTCATACCAGAGACACGCTCGCCCTTAACATACCCTCTCAAAAGTAACATGCTTCATGTCTGCTCACATTACATGGGCCAAAGGCACACAGCCAGACCTAACTTGAAGAGGTGGGGGATGATTACAAAGCTACCATGTGACCAAAAGGAGAGGAAAACTGAAATATTTTGCAATCAGTTCAAATGACTACTACAACCATCACCACAAAGAGCAAGCAGTTATTAAGCAACTGTTCTACTACGCACAGAAAATGATACTAGATTGTTTAGAAGTGATACAAAGTCTCTCAAGTCGCAGGCAGCACCAAAACCTGTCTTCAGTGAACTAGAACAAAGGTCATTGTTGAATGGAGAAACCCAAAAATAAATGAATTAGTTCCATAGTGAATGGGTGAGTAAATGATAGGACCCCAACAAATTTTAATAAAACCTGACTCTCAGGATTGGTATTATAGGGTTAAATAAGATAAATTACACATAAATTGCTATGGAAAACAGAATAATGACCGCCCCCCCCCACAAGATGTCCACGTCCTAATACCCAGAACCTGTGAATATGTCACATCACATGGAAAAAGGAATTTGCAGATGTGCTTAAAAATCTTGAGATGGAAAAATTACCCTGGGTTATCTGACAGGGTTCCATGTAATCAGAGAAATCCTTGTCAGAAGCAGGCAGGGGTGTAAGAGTCAGATGTGAGGGGGCCGCCAGTCAAGGACAGCTGGCAGCCTCTGGAAGCTGGAAAAGGCAAGGCAAGGCAAGGGGCCCCCCTAGACCCCCCAGAAGGAACGCAGCCCTGCCTACACCCTGGTTCCCGCCCAGTGAGACCCATGTCGGAGTTCAACCTCCAAAACTGCAAGAGACCAAACTTGTGTTTTAGTCTACTGAGTTTATGTAATTTGTTGAGCCACAATAGGAAATGGATGCAGTTGCTAGCAAAGTCTCTTGAACATAGTAGACATAAAGGGAAGCATCTCATTTTCTAGATGAGAAGAGTGAAGCTAAGTCAAGGTCTTGGTCACACGGGAGAAAGCAGCAGAGCCTGTCTTCCAGATCAGTGTTCTTTCCGCAAAATCTGCCTCAGTCCCCGCTCCCCCCCATCCCCTCCCGTTCTCTCCCACGCCCGTTGCTGCCTTCTCTCCCCCTAAAACAATGAAAGAACAAAATCTCAGTTGAATGGCTTCATCTGTCCTTTTCTGTTAGTTTCAGTTTTGTCAAAATGCATTTCCCATTTATCAAAGATAGTTTAAATTGCAGGATTACGCAGATTCATTGTGACAAGCTCACTGCAGAACTTAAGATGATAAACCCCACGTTGGTCACATATCTGGGCTACTGTCCCTTTCTGATCCTTGGCCAGTTTCTATGTTTGAGTCTTAAGGATGCACTTACCGCTGAATGTTTAGGCAAAATAAGTTCCAGGAAATTCCTCAGCCCCACTCAGTGGACTCGGAGGCTAGTATATTTAACGAGCAAGAAATCAGGCTTGACTTTTACGTACTCCATTGACCAGTTAGGATGCTTTAGGAAATTCACTTAAATGCTTGGATCCTAATTGCCTCACCTGTAAAATGAGGATAAAATGCCCCCTCAAATTGTAGGTAAAGATTAAATAAAACAATGTGTGTAAAGTGCTTGATACCTTGAGGGCAATTCTCAAAAACCTTAGCTGCCAGCACCATCAGAACATCACTACAATTTATGGTGTTATTTATAAATTTAATATATTTAAAGTTTTACTACACAGTATTATAAGCCTTATATAACTCTATATATTATGACTATGAATTACACGTATGCTGTAGTTACATATAAATATATAGATATTAAATATAGCCTAGAGAGAGAAATACATATAACAATTATGCTAAATATCATTATACTTATTTTTATAGAGCATTCATCATGATCTGTGCAATAACAGTCCGAGTTTTCGTTGTGTAAATGACACGCGGTCACCACGGAACTGAGCCTTGCAGGCAGGTGTGCCCACCCTCGGGAGGCATGCTCCAGTCCCGGGCCTTCCGCCCGGGGCCTCATCCGGGGGCCTTCCGCGGGGCGTGCCTGTCCGCAGCCCTCAGACCACTTCACACTCTTGGCCTTTGGGACCCTCGCTCACGGGGACTATCAGCGGGGACTATTGCTCGCTTGCTAGGATAGTTTGGGACCATCGCCTTGGCTTCTGTAATGCGCGCTTCTGGCTTTCCCTCTCCCTCCAGGACTCTCCCTCCCGGACCTCACCTTAGGGCCCTTTCCTATCTCCCCTGGTTTGCCAGGCACCTGCCTTCACCTCCCTCCAGGCTGTAATCCTCCCCTTCAAACAGCTGCTACATGCACTTTGACCTCAAGGACCCTGAAGCCCCGTGTGTGTGTGTGTGTGTGTGTGTGTGTGTCTCTCAGACCCCAGTCCTCTATTGACATCTCCGCACACAGAGGCCCACACTGTCATGCTAAAGGCCTTTCTGCTCAAAGCCTGTGGTGGCTGCCGCCCGCCCTGCCCTGGAATAGTAACACCAAAGTGTCAGGTAGAACTGGGGTTTCCGCAACACCGGCAGGTGAAGGACACGCAGGGACAGGGCAGGTGGGGGCTGCTCCATGCAGCCCAGGAGCAAGATGGGGCCTTGGGAAGTAAGTGGTGGCTCAGCTGGACATAGGCCCCAGGGACGGAGACTGCAGGAGTGACAGGAGGTAAAACCACAAGGCAGGGAGGTCATGCTGAGGTTGCAGGCACGATGCTGAGGATGGTGGGGAGGTTGGAAGGTCTAGAAGAAGGGGTGTCATGATCCAACTGGTTGACCTCTCAGAAAATAAAGAGGACCCTCATACACACTGTCACTCAATAAATACTTACCGCGTTAAATTGAATAAAGAACTCGTTACCAAAACCCAGAGCCAGTGCGGCACCTCCCATGAGCCACACTGCTTCTGCGTTGGGAGGGTGCGATGCTGGGACGCCTGAGAAGATAAGCATTCTCCCTTTCCCTTCAGGACGGCGCTTTCTTGGTCCGAGACTGTTCCATGAAGTCCCAGACAGAGCCCTATGTTTTGGTGGTGTTTTATGGGAACAAAGTCTACAACGTGAAAATCCGCTTCCTGGAGAGGGATCAGCAGTTTGTTCTGGGGACGGGACTCAGAGGAGGTGAAGTGAGTATAGGTTCATGCCTTTCCTTTTCCTGTGCTAAAGAACAATGAGAGGAGAATATGGGGTATGCACGGTGGGAAGGAAGAGCGCCGCCCTGGAGGCAGAGCATGTAATGAATCCTTCCAGCCCCTTTAACAAGCGTCCCTGCCCACATCTTACCCCCCAGACAGCGCCGGCCACTCTACGCACTCTCTACCCTGCTTTGCCCTTTAAAGAAAGCTCATTCTGCCAGACATGAAAGCTCTGCCTCCCAGGATCCTCCACCAAAGCCCCCATTGATGCCACATGCCTTCCCTGCCCCCGCACTAACTCCCCCTGCAGGCATTTCTGACAACGCATGGTAGCAGTAGGAACTGGTAGGTTTGTGTCCCCACCTGAAGGTGAGCCTAATCACAGTGCCCAGTGCCCGGTGCCCGTTCTTAATTGGGTGGCTAGGGGAAAGAATGAATCGATTCAAGTGTTCATTCATAAATGGGTCAATAAATCAAAGAGAGAGGGAAAAGGAGATTGATTTTTCCCTGAGTATGTTGGTGATAGGGCTTGTCTATCTACATTATCTCATTTTCTCTTCCAATAACTCTTTGACGTAACAATTGTCTCTAAGATGGAGGGAAACTGAGGCTCAGAAAACTATCAATGGCTAGAAACATACAGGTAGTGAGAGGAGAAGGAGGAGAGTGCACTTTCAGCTCTTCTTGGGTGAGGGGGAAGGAGGGAGGGAGGGAAGGCTAGGGTTCAATTTCTCGGTCATCATTTACGAAGTGTGTGAGCTCAGGCTAGTCACTTCACTTGTTTTTAGTGTCCTCAAATGTAAGTGGTCTTTTCAAGTCTAGATTTCTATAATTCAATGATTCCCATGTGGCATCACCAGACCTCAGCTTTATTGGCTGGTATGTATTATGGATTGAATTATGCCCCCACCTCCCAAATTCGCCAGCTGAAGTCCTCAGCAACTCCCCAGCACTTCAGAACGTGATGGTGTTAGGAAATAAGATTTTCAAAGAGGTGATTAAGGTAAAATGAGGTCATTAAGGCAAGCCCTAATCCAATCTGACTGGTGTCCTTATAAGAAGAGAGTAGGACACAGACACACAGAGAGGGACAAGACCCTGTGAGGACACAGGGTTTGCCGAGGGGAGAGGCCTTGGAAGGAACCAGCCTGCCGACCCCTGGACCTGGGGCTCCAGCCTCCAGAACTGTGAGAAAACAAATTCCTGTTCTCTAAGCCACCACCCTCCCCAGTCTGTGGCACAGTTTTGGTGGTGTTTTGAGGCCCAAGCAAACCCATACAGAAATAAACCAGAAGTTCACAAATATCTACTATTTGTCAAGAGACATCAAAGTAAGGGATGTTGCCAGGGTTGCCAAAATGCTCCAGGCAGGCACACATGTGAAAATCCTCTCAGCGGAGCCTGAACAGTCTGGCGCGCACTGTGCCTGACCCAGAGCCCATGTCTGAGAGATCACACGTGGGCCAGAGAGGCTGGTCAGCACCGGCCAGGCCACTGTGGGGTCCGTTCACCAGCCCTTGCCACAGCCCAGGCCAGTTTGGGCATCAATAAGAGCGCAAAGAACGAGTAGATGAATACATAGACCTGCCAAAGACAGCCAGACTGAGGAAGTGTTACGTCCAAATTGAAGTAGCTGGTTTTCCCTTCTGTGCTGAGGATGAGCGAGCGAGTGAATGGAAAACACTCAGAAGGCCACCTGGAAGCGAGTGCGCCCACGACAAGCATTCGTTACGCTACATTTGTGACTACGACTGAGTCCTGGTAATAACTGGGCTGTTGTTCCCTCAGCTAGACACCCGGGGTAACGGACTGGCCAGCTCACCATCCCTTCATCCTTCTAGTCTCTTCTTTCTGGTTATAAAACTTCTCATTTAAAAAAAATCAATCATTTTTACATGCATAGGACTAAGGATCCTTTTCCTTAGAGAATACAGACCATGGAAATCGTGCACCCTGACATGGGCCACAGAACCCTCTGTGGGGGCTGTTTACGTTGCTCTCTCGTGCGGTCCTCAGAAACCTCTGGGAAGGACCCACCTCTGGGTATTGAGCCCCTTGTACCAGAGAGGAGACTGAGACCTGAAGAGTTTACCGCTCTTCCCCCGAGCAAGCCACACAGCTAACGAGAGAGAGGCGACAGAGACACTGGGCGTCGGTGAGGGCGCCTAAGAGCGGCTCATCGGATCGCCCGCCGCGCCTGGCTGCCTCAGCGGGCACATGGGCTGGCTTCCAGCTGAGCTGCTCTCATTAGCCAGCCAGGACCCCTGAGGGAGCCCAAAGCCTATGTCAAGAAGACCCTTTGCACGTGATTATGGAATTTCCTCCTCCCGTGCCTCTTCCAAGCAAGAGTCCCCTCCTTTCCACATCTTTACTTACATGCACGGGCATTATTCCGTGCAGTTAACAATTAGTAACTCATTGATCGATATAATTCTCATAGCAACCCTGCGAGGTAGATGCTGCCAATATCTCCACGTAACAGATGGTGAAATTGAGGCACAGGAATGTTAAGTAGCGGGCCCACGGTCACAGCCAGTGCCTGGCAAAGCTGGGGTTCCATGTAGTCTGCAGAAAGACCAACTTCTTCACGCAGTTTAAGACAATGTCGCGCCCAGACGCCATCCCCAGCCCAGAACATTGACTGAATAGTTCACACTTCCGTGGAGCTTGCTGTGCTGGGCACTGGGTGAAAAATGACCATTTATAGGTGGTTCTTTCTACCTGTCCCAGTCCAGGACTGAGACAGCCATAGACTGCACTCTCTTCCCTCTCCCCTGTCACGGTGTAAGCTCCCTGCTGAGGAAGAATCGCCCGTGCTTGGAACAAGAGAAAAGTCTTGGATCCAGCAGGGCTCTGCTGAATGCCAGCCAGCTACTTCATCTGGTGCTAGAGGGAAAACGTAGTGAGGCACCAGGTTTTCAAAGATCATTTTGATCTTATGTGGCTTTTTGGCGCTTTTGCACACTTTAGAATTTAGCCATGCGTACCACGCAGCAACACCTGTCTCAAGGGACTTATTTTGAGTGTAAGATGAGCCAGGCACACAGAGGCAGGTATGTAGTAACTATCAGATTCCATCTTCGTGAGCCCTGAAGGCCCCTTCATTAGCTCTGTGCGCCCCCCCCTCCAGGCAGAGGCCAGGCACCGGGGCCACCAGGCGAGGCCCCCCAGGGAGGCCCAGCACATCGACACCTCTCACAGCGGAGGAGGCAGGCACCCGATGTGCGCCTGCAAAGAGTAAGTCGGGGAGTCCGTTTCCCTGCATATTAGGCATTTGGGCCATTCTGTCCACCATGTGGCTAGCAAGTCACACCTGACTTCAGAGGTGGTGAATGGCTAGTGTATCCATTTCCTGGGGCTGCTGGGACAAAGCCCCACAAACTTGGTGGCTTGAAACAACAGAATCGTATTCTCTCCCGGTTCTGGAGGCCAGAAAACTGAAGCGGAGTTATGGGCAGGGCCGCGCCCCCTCTGGAGGCTCTGGGGAAGGATCTTCTGGCCGCCTCGACCTCCTGGTGCTGTCAGCGGCACAGGTCTTCCTTGGCTCGCGGCTGCCTCCCCCCAGTCTCTGTCTCCGTGGTCACACCGCCTCCTCCTCTCCCCTGAATGAGTCCCCCTTCCCGTCTGTCTTACAAGGATACACGTAATTACTTGTAGGGATAACTCAGGATAAGCTCCTCCTCCCAAGATCCTCAACTTCATCCCAACTTTTGTCATGGGAAATAACAGTCACTCGTTGATATATCAGGCAATATTCAGGTTTCAGGGATTAGGACATATTTTGGCCTGTTTGGAGAGGACCACCATTCAGCTCACTACACCCATTTATTTGCCCGGTTACTGGCCAAGTGTTAACCATACGCTGTCGCTCTGTGAGAGACAGTGCTCTGTCCTGGGGACCCAGAGCAGAGTGCTTCGGAGTCCCTGCCACCCGGAGGAGGCCGGCGAATCTGTGACTCTGTGCACATGCACTCAAGCAGGGGCAGGAGTGGAACTACCGAGCAGCCGGTGGACCCCCAGCCCTGCCAGCCGGAGGGGCACCTGCCGCCTGTAGCCTTCAGAGCTGTCCCTGCCGCGCACCTCGACGCTGCAGCCGAGTTTAGAAATCACGGGTCAGCGTTTCTGCGGTAGCTCCTAAGAGAGCAATTTCAATCACCAGACCTTACGTTGACCATTAGTGGCTGAAAATTAGGATAGCTGTTTACCTGACAAATCAAACTCGCAAGATAAGAAGGCACAGACGATCACCCCGTGGGTTTGTTTCTCACGTCCCCTGCCTGCTTCTCGCCTCCCTCCTGCTTTGCTTCTATCGCGTTCTCTTCTCTGCTTTCACTCGCACGTGTGTGCCCAGACTGACTTACCTGTCCGGCAGAGAAACACTGCCTGCGGTTGGTCTGTCGGGCAAACCTTAAAGGTTTAAACAAAGTTTAAGATCCAACATTAGGATGACATTTACTGTCCTCCTGAAAAAAAAATCATTTAATATAAAAACAAGAGCTTAATTATAATCTTTTAAAAGTCTCTTTAGGGTAATACATCAGCTGCAGGTTTATCACTAGAAGTCAATAATAAGAAACAGCAATGCGATTGATAGCCCCTGCCGTGCCTGCTTCCTGCTGCTTGTTGAAATGACAGTTTCATATAAAATGTCATCCATGTAGGTGATTAACACAATTAATATTGAATTCATTATTTTGGGACGCTCCTGGAAAACAGGAATGAGAATACAAAGCAAACATTTCCCCCCTGAAGACTAATACCAGGAAAGAGGATTCCTGTTGTGTGGCGTGGGGGAGCCAATTTTGTAGAAGAGTTCTCCGTGGCAAAGTTTGCTCTCGTCAATCACTTTTTGTTTCCTCAAGTCCGAGGAAACAGAGAAAAGACTCTGTCCTTGATTTATACAGGGAAATGAAATAGACACATTTCTGACCTTTCTCAAGGCCTACAACAATAGTCCGGAACCGCCTCCGGTTCCGACGCTCCCTGCTCCAGTCCTTGGCGATCCTGGGCGGGAGGGGCTCAGGGTGACCCTGGGCGTCCGCTGAGCACGCGTGGTCTCTGGAGGTCTCTTCTGAATGCCGTGTTAGGCCAGGTAGTCCTCATGATGGTCCTCAGAGGTAGGTCCTAGTGTCACCGTCCCTGTTCCTGGAGAAACTGAGGCAGGGAGTGTAAGAAACTTGACCGAGGACACACAGCCAGTGGGTGGGGACCGCGCACGGCACTCCCCGAGCCCTTCACGGCTGACTGCTTTAGCTGAGCAATCATCACCTCGCTGGACACCTGGGAAAGCCCCTCACCTCAGCATCAGGCAGGAACTGATACTCTCTGTGGACCTGCTGGGGGTGGACAGACGGCTTCTCCCACCGAAACTCTGCGGCAGCTCCAGCAGCAGGCACAGAGGGGCAAGTCACACAGGAATTTAATCAGTGATCTTTTAGTGAAAAAAGAACAAAACCCAACTCAAATGAGCTCGGGGGCAAGAGGGCAGGTTTGTGGCCTCAGCCGCCGGGCAGAACAGGAATGAAGTGGGTCTGGGAGCTGGGGAGGCTCAGCAGCCCACATCTCTGTCCCTAAGTCCCGCCAGCCAGTGATCCCTCTCCAAGCCCCTCCCATTGCAGGAAGGCGAGAGCCCCAGCAGCTTCAGGCCTCTGCATCCCAACCTGGTGCTCCCCTGGCAAAAGGCAGGCTCCTCCCTCAGCCCCGCGCAGCCCCCAAGGGTGCGGCCGGGTGAGGGTCTGGAACCCAGAGTTGACTGTCTTCACAGCACATCACCCTGAGGGCCAGGATCTCTCCGTACAGGAGGTTATTTTGCCCCCACCAGCTGTAACCTCCCTGGGGACAGTGGCCTTGGCAGTCCCATTCCCTGCTGGCTGCCCCGAGGGCCTGCAAACATTTCTGGTGTCTGGGGAGGGGACACAGAACTAGAGCAGAACCTGACGTCCCCACTGGGACGCCCTTCCTCCAGGCGGCCGCTCTTGGAACGCCAGGGTCACAGCCACAGGCAACGCTGTTTCAGGGAAGCATTGACAGCGTCCAGAAAAACCAGGTCCCGCTCCTGGTCCTGGCCGCCCGGCGACCTCCGAGCGGGCCGGCCCACTTCTGAGCTGCCATTTCTTTGACTCCTCAAGGAGGGCCATTGCTCACCTCCCGGGGCTGCCCAGGAGGAGCCATGCTGCGTCCCGCTGGGAAGGCCGGCGGAGCGCCCCCTTCCTGACCACCTCCCAGTACTCCTTCCGAGGGCTCACCCGGACTCCGCGAATCGGGTGCGATGCCCACGCGCCCTCAACCCCTGTCCTGCTTCTTCCTCTGCCTTTACTATTTCAAACCCTCCTTGTCCCCTTCCCTGGGATGGCCCAGAATGGACAGCGCATTTCAAGGCTGTATCTTCAACAAAGCACTTCCTGATTCCACTGCCCTGCAACTTGAAATCATCTTACTTCCCATCAAATCACCTCAGGATTTTCTCTGTATGTCTCTGGAAACATCAAGGTGAAACGATCTGCTGGGGGTTTTTTTGGTTTGTTTTTTTTTTTTTCCCATGAGAAGCCCAGGGAAGGGAGCTAAGTTGGCTAAGAAGTATGGGCTGCCCTGCGGCCAGCTCTGGGTTTCTGATTACTCTAGAAGTTGTTGGAATAAGGGGGTTACATGGGAAGAGAGTTCGCTGCACGCCTTTCCCACCAATTTACTAAGTGAAGGTCAATCCCTGATGGGCTCCGTTTTGGTTTGTCATGGGTTGGGGGGAGGAGCTAAGGGAGGCCCATAAACTCTGAAGATTCCCCAGGGCTGCCTGCTGTGTAAGTAGCTCATCTACCAATAACCCATCTGAACTGCTTACAACAGGACCCCGTGGTGACAGAGAAGCTTGACCAGGTGGCCTGATCCTAGTCGCTGCCTTGGTTTGCCTCTGGTCTCCCCAGGCGCCTTTCTTCTCCGCGTCACGGCATCCTTACCACTCGTCCTCCAGAGAATTGGATTGCCACGTCCAATTTTTTTCACATGACTTTCTGACACACTTTTCCAACCCCCCCAAAATGGTAATGAGCCCATCTCTCTTCCAAGGAAAACTTAACATCTGTACTTTAACCTACAGGCACGAAAGATAGGGAGATGTCCATTCACTTTCTTGTGTGTGTTTCAGAGGTTTGACTCGGTGGAAGACATCATCGAACACTACAAGTGTTTCCCTATTGTGCTCGTCGACGGGAAAGATAAAACCGGGACTCGCAGGGAACAGTGCTACCTGGCTCAGCCACTGCCTCTCAACAAACTCTCCTCCCCTCGGTAGGCGCGCCTGTTTTATCTTCAGCTCCCTGGACCCAAGGCCCCTATTATTTGACGCTTCTTTCCAAAGGTTATTTTCTGTGGCTTTAAGTAATTACGTTTTGACATTGTAGAAAAGAAAAACAGTCTATGGTGGAAACTGCTAACTCAATCATGGCTTTGAAAGCTCACATCACAGAAGAGACATATAAGAGAGGCAAAAGTCAAACCTAACTTTTAAAAAATTATCTTCTAAAGACACAGTGATAAAGTCGGTCATTACACTCATGTTACGGAGGAGCAATAGGTTACGAAACACTTGCTTGAATGTGTGCAGCTGGCGCACGGCAAGTCTGGGTGGGAGTCCCAAATCTATGCTCTTTATGGGTCCTTGTGTGGCCTGCCTTTATTTCAGAAATGCTTGGACTTGTGCATTCACAATGTTTTCATGATCCATTATGCTGCCGGTGTTGGGGAATGTTAGCGCCATGCTATTTGTAATGCTGGAAATTCAATTCTGGGGGAGAAGCGTGGTCGGAAAACGAGCTCTTGTGAGTATCACAGGAAAGACAGGAGTCAGAAGTGCACTTACGCTGCTGCGGAACGGCCGGCATACGCTGCTTGGAGTCGTTTCAAGACAAATGGAAGCAGCAGAGTCCTAGCACGGAGGTGAGCTTAAGCGTGAATGAAAGTATAGTTGTTTTTAAAAACTCCAGCCGTGGACCTCCATTCAAAGGAGCGGCCGTCCTTGAGTGAGTATCACGCTGTGGGGACACCGCACGTGCCCCAGCTCCCCGCCAGGAGGATGCCGTTTATTCTGGTTTCACCGTGCAGATCGGGAAACAGAGGCTGTGGGCGCGCTCGCTCCATATCACAGGGACAGCCCGGGTTTGCAACCGCTTTCCCCGGCTCCCTCCAAGCACATCGTCCCAGGTGCATTTCCTGCCCGATGAAAAATAAAGACAGTTTGAAAATAGAGACTGACCCACCTTTACATGTATAAATAAATAAACTCTTGTAGTGAAGTTAAAAAAAAAAAAAAAAGTTCTGGTTGAAATTATTAGTACACAATGACTTTGAATGTGACCAAAGCCTACATGTGAAATTTATAGAGTATATATTTGTAGCTTCCATGCAGAGGTAAAACCAAGTTATAATTAAAAGCAAGAGATATCCAGGAAAATAGTACAATGTCTGAGAAGAGCTGTCAGCATCTGCCACCCACCGGCCCGGGCGCGCGGGTCCTCTCCCTTCGCAAGGCCATCATGACGTGGCGCCTCTAAGTCAGCTCGGGGGCACTGACGACGGAGCCGCTTGTACAGCTGGAGCCCCTGGCGCCCACCGGAGCCTGCCCTGGAGTGTGGGCGCCCGCCCAGGACAACACAGGATCGGCGAGGCAAGAAGGGGTACGTCGGAGCTGGGCTACAAAGGAGCACACTGATCCGGGCTGAAGGCGGCATGGCAGTGGGTCATGCCCAGCTGGGCTCCAGTAAACCCGGCCAGGGTGGGAACGGACTCGGCAGAGAGCCCACAGGCTGAAGAGCGCTGGGGAGATTTTACTGAGAACGCTGACTCACTGATTCACAGGGGCCACGGCGTGCAGACTGTGTTCTTGAGATACGTTTCTGCTGCTCCTCAAGCATCGTTCTTGTTAAAATAGATGAACATCAGGTAGTGGCTAGCATTTTTATTTGGCTTTATGTTTTTAAAATGTTTTATCACCTCCTACTCATAAACACATGATGTGATGCTAGGAGGAAAAAGTAGACATTGACCATTTTAAAATACAATGCCCACAATACTTCCACACAGGAACACCTCCGAAAAGAAGTAGAAAGGGCGAGATATTGACAGGGGTTGCTTAGATGACTGGGATTTGAGGGACCATGTTAGTTGGGTCTTCCGGAACTCAGATGTCAAGACTGGAGTTAGAAGAAATGCAAACATTTGGGGAAGGAATGCCTGGAGCAATAAAGGGGAGAGGGAACAGGAGAAGGCAGGGAGGGCCGCAGGCGGCGCCGTCTCAGGAGGATGAGTACGAAAAGCACCAGACTGAGACGCAGCCCCGGGAGAGCCTGAGCTGCCCCACCGGTAAGGTGCGGAGCAAAGACCGCCCGTGGGGGGGAGTCCCAGGTGGGCAGAAACGGCCAGGCATGGGTGCCCTGCCCCCGCTACCTCATTGCCTGGGCCTGTGCAGGAAAGCTGACCTTCAGATGCTGGGGACGTCCAGGAGGCACGGCAGCTGCGGGCTAGCAGAGAGCCTGGGGAGGCTCAAGTTCTTTCAAGGATCATCCACGTGGCCCATCTCCGTGTCTGCCAAAGGGGCGTTCTGGCTCTCAGGGTGGACTGTAGTGACATTTTGCTTGCAACAGATCACAGCAGGATAAAGGTACATACATTTCATCATAGGGCAGCATTCCAGCAGTCCTGCGGGGAGGGGAGGGCAGGGCGGGTATCCCAAACCCATCTTAGGACTGAGGAAACGGGCCTCCTCGGTCTCGCTCTTACGGTGACACAGTCACGGCTGGGGCTGCGGTTTTCCTGCACAAAGTGCCATCCAGGGTCTAGCTCCTCGTTGGATCTGGACGTAAGAGTCCGATGACGTGCGCGTGGCATGCCCAGGTTCCAAAGGGTTTTGATCCCTCTTCCACTGTTATTTCCTTTACAGTTGAGAAGTGTCTCTTCACACCTCGCCCCAGGAGAGAAGTGGAAGTTCAGCTTTATCCGATTATAGTGTCCATGCATTCTCAGATACTTTTTTTTTTTTTTATGAAATCTCCCCTATTCAACTCAATTTATATCTTCCTTATCTTTAATAATACCTTGTTATAAGCACCTGTTTTATGTATGGATATGTACTTGTTGCTAGGCAGTCTTGTAGATATTGGAATTATAGCAGTGAATTAAGTGGGAGAAACAGACAGCAAACAAGTATACAATAAATAAGATCACCTAATTGGCTTTCCATTACTGTGCTGTATTTCCACTGTAACACTTATCACCGAGTGCCTGTGGTGAGGTCTATATTAGATATTTTGGCTGAAGTCTATTTAAAATGGCTTTTAAAAGTTTTCAACCAGAAAATTTAAAATTTTTCAAATTTACTTTCTGGAAAACTCCTCCCCTTGGATATATGTATATATGCATGGGGGGAGGGTGAGTGACTACATCAAACCTGAAATCAATGAAATTCTGTTTTAATAGCTATAGAGAAATCAGATTTTACCCCATCATCAAATTTAGCCCATTGTGTGTGTGTTCAAGTACACACACTTCGTACACGATGGTCTATATTACATGTGATTCACATTATATTCGGGTATCTATTTTTTCATCCTGAATATTTGTTCTCACTAAGCACTTTTCCTTTTTTTTAACATTCATGATTTACAGCTGTACTAACTTAAATGAAAGCAAATATGTAATTAAATGTCCTAATATCACTGTAATTGAGTACTAGAAAAAAATTCAAAATATTAGTTTAATTTTGTTTTTTTCATGCACTAGGTGTTCCTAAAGCCCTTTTGAAATCACACGTAGGATACATTTATGACACAATTTCTAGAATAATTTTTCACACATGAGCATTAATAAATGCCAGATTTGGGGGCAGAAAGATGAAAGAGACTTAAGCTCTGTGACTGCGGGGTACAGGCCTGGCACTACAGCGCATGTAATTAAAACCACGCAACACAGAATAATAGGCTTGGTCATTCTCTCACAGGTACGAGACCATTGTGTTGGCAGGCAGAAGGATATGTAGGGGGGAGGGTGCAATCATGGAAGGCTGCCTGGGGGAGGGGGGGATAGTCAAGTGGAGAGGTGAAGAATGCCCCTGGAATAGAACACAAGCTTTAGGAATACACACACTGTCGGACTTTCTGAGCGCTCTCATTTTTAAGGGTACCATTCTAGTCACTAGACATGCAGTGACCACATATTAAATGGGCAAGTGAACCCAACAGAAATAGCCTCTGTGAGGAAAGGACAGGTGATTTATTGGCTGGTTCTGGGCAAATGGGCTCACTGTATAGGAGGAAAAAAAATACAATTATGTTGTACTTCAAATCATACGCAAAATTAAATTATCTGTGGATCAAATAGCTAAACATGAAAAGCAAATGTGAAATTGAGACTCATGTTTTCTTCTGATAATTTTTGTGACCTTGGGGTAGGCAAAGAGTTTTCAAAACTGAAACATGAATCATAATGGGAAAGATTGATAGATTCATTACAGCAGAATTTAAAATGCTTGCAAAAGTCAAGCTCAAAAGGCATTGAAACAACCTAATAAAAGTGTGACGAAAGGATATAAACAAGCAGTTCATATGTGAATATATACCTCTTAGCCCTGTTAAGATGTTAAGATGTGCAAGCTTACTGTCATAACTGGGGAGCAGTGGGTGGCAGAAACACGCGGTGCCAGTAGACGCAGTCGCGGAATGGAGCTCTCTTTAAGGGCAGATAACAGGGAGCAGCCAATAGAGCAGAGCGGGAGATGGAGGTACCTGTCTTCTCTGATCCCCAACCCCACTGAGCTTGACAATGGACCCACACAGAGGGAGACCGTAGCCAGGAAGCTTAGAGAGCCCCGGAGAGCGAGCAGCCCCCATGAGAACGGCGAGTGGGCTTCCTGTCTGCCCACCAGATGAAAGCGAAAGGGGCGGGGGAACCCTAGGCCGTCGCTCAGGGCCTCCGGAGAGGCCTGCTGAAGCACAGAGCCCCCCAGCACCCCAGCTCCAGGCTCGCCGGACAGCTGCCTCCTCGCTGGCGACCAGCGAAATGCTCATTAAAATGGCAACTGTATAGCACTTTTCACCCATCCGATTGGTCAACCTTAAAAGATTCAGAGCATATCAAAAACTGCTGAGAATGTGAGGATGCCTGACAATTGGCTTTTTTATTGGAATGTAAATACCCGACTTGAAGCTTTTTACTCCTGAGGCATCCATTTCAAAGACACACCTTGCCAACTACAAAACTAGATAAAGAGCCAGGCCCCACACCCACGACGGCCCCCTTGCAGAAAGCCCCAGGTGACCGAGGCGACTAACACCTGTGGCCCTGCTTCTCCCTTCTCCTGCTTCAATTCCGGATCCTGGGTTTTAAATTCATCTATAAGAAGGGACCCCGAAGAAGCCTCGCCTCCCCACCCTCCACCCCCGAACAGCAAAGCCCCAGGTCACCCCACCCCCAACTCTCCCACCTCCCTCCATGAGGTCTG